CATCTGTAAGGTTTCTCTTTGACTTTGTCGCAACATTGCAATACCAAAAGCTGATGCGAAGCAGAAAGAAATGATTGGGCCTGTCCAGTCGAAATTCTCTGGCAGAAGAGGTGGTGGATTATTTTGATTGTCGTCAGAGGCCAACATGGCCGGAGGGGGAGGATCCTGGACATTCTTGGGTGGATGCGCACACGGATAAAGATTTATCAATTTGCTCTTCGCTCCTTGGATCCATCTCTTAACAATTTCCATTCTCAGAGAAAACTAGAATTCTTATTTCCTTCCTAATTAATCGCTCACTCAATATCTGTGCCCTTATATAGATAGCTTCAACTGAGCTTCTGCATATTTCGAAGATATGCACGCAGTCCAAATATACAAATGATAAAATTGAAAACATTCTTTTCATAAAAAGTTTCAGACAGTTGAAATTCTGCAGCTTTCAACTTTTGAGATCCAAAAAGAAAGTCTTGGCCCAATATTCAACTTTTGAGATCCAAAAAGAAAGTCTTGGCCCACTTTTGGATGTAATTTCGAGACGACGTAATATTCTATCCTGACCAATTAAGCATTGAAAAATATGAAATGCAAATAAGTAAATGTATATCAGTATATTAACTCTAATACTTATCCAAGAAATAAACCAACTATATTAAGCCCCGATTTGATTAGGACTAAAATTAGATTTTTAACAGATTTTCATAAAAGTTGACGAAACGTATTATCGAAAAGTTGTCGATCAAATAAAATGTTGGGACTATTTGAATTCTGTGGGTGGCGTACCGAATCTCACGGAAAGATTTCTTTTAGGAACTATTTCTTTTAAATATAAATTTCAAGGAAGTAGTCAAAATGTGTTGATTATTTGAATTAAACTCAAAACTCTATCAAATATGGATAAAATTAAGAAACTTTTTAAATAACAAACTCTCCGAACATTTAAAGAATGGGTCGACATTTGTCATTGAGGCCGAAAGAAAACTGGCATGGATTTATATAGCCCTGTTTGAGTCCTAATTGTTGGGAAATTATTTAATTTCCCGTGATGGGCCGACATATGTAATTAATTGTGTATAAACGCTATCTTAAAGTTAAGCCCAAAATTAAAGTGATCTAATAAGAAATTAAGTAATTGGGCTTTAAGCATCTAATTAAAGTGTGGGCCGGACTATATGTGTAGAGACCGGATCCATTAGGGTTTGTATTTGACGATGGGCCGAA